ACACAGTAATGCTCAGCGCCGGCTACAATCGTATTCTTTTTTTTTTCTCTTCCTTTTCGGAATCGGGCTTGAAGTTGGTGGTTGGCTAGGGCCTCTCAATGGCCGGAGTTGCTACGAGACATGGGACCGTCGTCAGCGATAACAACCGCAGTGTGAGCAAGATCGGTTATGGGAGGGTGGGGGAGTATGTAGGTCTGGAGGTAATTGCGCATGGTTCTGTATTTCGGCACCAGATAGGTACATCGACTCACAGACCTTAATCCGCTCTCGGTTTGTCTTGCGTCCAACTCGTGACCCATTTGAAGGTGTGTGAACAGTTAGTTGTGCCAATTTGTCCTTCTGTCATACAACCAGCTTATGCTTGTGAGTGCGTGCGTGCGTGCGTGATCCGAGATAGTGGATGACCTTGAGGCAGTTGGCCTTGAACAAGGACGACGGACACAGCACTGTTGGACTTCGGCTACACTGTCTTGCGCCCACTCCACGAGGCACGCGAGGTAAACGTTGTCGGTCGCGGCGATCCGGATAGTGGGAACTTCTTTTTTTGTGGACTACAAACTGATTCTTTTATAAATAACTTCCTCTCGCGTGTCTGCGATCTCACACCTCACGTCGGTCCTAGTTAATACCCTACACTCATTTTATTTTCTAGTATCACCAACGATGCAAGAGAGGATGAAATGGACCGAAACTTGGGCCATGTAGCCAATGTTGTCGGTGAACTGCGTTCAATGGCTGTGGACATGAACAACGAGATTGCCGTCCACAACCGAAAACTGGACGACATCTATACCAAGGTGGGTAATTCAATTAGTTGGTTGACCTACTCATTTGCTTGAACCACTAGGTTTTGTGTTCCTAGGTAATTTTGCCTTGCCTTGTGCTTTGGACCTACTCATTTGCTTGAACCATTAGGTTTTGTGTTCCTAGGTAATTTTGCCTTGCCTTGTGCTTTGGAACTGTAAAGGTTGTTCACTCGTTTTTTCTATCACAGGCTGACGACAATCAAGGCCGCATGACTGTTGCCCAAAATCAGGCCGAACGTATTATCGGGTACGTTTTTGGCATTGTTATTAATTTTACATGTCTGGCAAATTTTTGGGACAAGCTTTACCATGTACTCGTAGATGCCTCTTTCCGAGACTATCTCAATGTAATAATCCGGGTATCGAGAAGAAGAGGACTCGATCGTTGGGGCAATACTTCTATTCGCCGGACGTTTGGATATGCGTCGCGGATTCGTCATTAGAGACATAGTCGGAGGGCGATAGCAGATAGGGTAGCACATGCAC